TGCGCCTGCGCATGAGTGGGTGTGGTGATTGTGTGCGTGTGTGTGTGTGTGTGTGTGTGTGTGTGTGCACCTGCACATGGGGGGGTGTGTGCGCGCGTGCGCGCTGGGTGTGGTGCGCCTGCGCGGGATGTGGTGCGCCTGCGCGGGATGTGGTGCGCCTGCGCACGCACGCGGCCGACGACGGCATCCATTTTTCCGTGCCCGCAGTCTGAGCGCGGCAGTGACTGAGGGCACGTAGGGACCGAGGGAGTTTGGAAGGGCGAGCTGCCTGGCACAGAGGGGAAGAAAGAGAGCGGGATGGTGAGTGCCCTGGGGAGCCGGAGGGCCCGGGGCGGGCGGGGCTGATGCTGGGGCACCTGTGCCCTAAGTCCTAGCAGAAGGGTTTGCGGTCACTCCCGCAGCTCCGGCCGTAGACCTGCTGCCCAGAAGCCCTTTCAAACTTCACCTTCACAGTCTGCACAGACTGGGAATCTCCAAAACCTCAGGACCTGGGCCTTCCGAGCTGCCTCTCCCACGTTTTCCCACGAGCAGCGGCAGCCGCCCCCGCTGCCTGCCCTTCCCGCCCCGCTCACTCCCCGCTGCTCTCCTGGGGCTTCCTGGAGCCACTTCCCAGTGAGCTGCTTGTCCCCAAGTCTGCCTCGGGGCTGGCTCCCAGAGGAACCCAGACTCAGGCCGTCCCGAAGCAAGGCCGCCTCTGCTGAGTCTCCTGCCGTGGACAGAGGAGTGAGGGGGGCGAGGAAACGCGGTGATTGTTCTGAGGAAGAAGAAAGAAAACAGCAAGGAAGCCTCACTTGGACCCCTATGATTCCATCTCCAGCCTGCCCAGTCAGCACTCCCCATGTCCCGAAGCCCCTACCCTCCAAATTATCTGTAAAAAACGTGATCCCCAAATGAGCAGGGATACTAATAGTAAAACTCCGGTCTCCGCACAGCTGGCTCTGCGTGAATTACTCTTTCTTCGTTGCCGTTCTTCTGTCTTGATATCTCGGTTCTGTGTAGGCAGAGGGCAAGGTGAAGCCACTGGGCGGTTACAGAGGCAAGAGACTTTTTCCAGCCTGGTCTTCAGCGATGCTCCTGGCTCTTCTCCGCTGCTCTCAGTGACTTTCTGCCCCTCACTCTTCGAGGACAGAGCTCCCAAGCACCCTTCCCTCTTTGGGGGTCCAGAGCCCCCACAAGCCCAAAGTCTGGATCCTGTGAGCTGCTATGTGTTTCTGGCTCATTTTTGGTCTATGAAGTGTTGCCAGTTTTTAATTTTTTCTTTTAAAAATTATCTATTATAGGCTGGGCATGGTGGCTTACATCCGTAATCCCAGCGCTTTGAGAGGCTGAGGCAGGTGGATCACCTGCGAGCGGGAGTTTGAGACCAGCTTGACCAACATGGTGAACCCCATGTCCACTAGAAATACAAAAATTATCCAGGTGTGGTGGTGCATACCTGTAGTCCCAGCTACTCGGGAGGCTGAGGCAGGAGAATTGCTTGAACCTGGTAGGCAAAGGTTGCAGTGAGAGGAGATCATGCCACTGCACTCCAGCCTGGGTGACAGAGTGAGACTCCATCTCAAAAAAAAAAATAAATAAATAAAATAAAAAATTACCTATTGTAGCCATGGGTGGGGAGAATTGTGGGAGGGCCTCTGTATTAGTTTGTTTCATGCTGCTGATAAAGACATACCCAAGACTGGGAAGAAAAAGAGGTTTAATGGACTTACAATTCTACATGGCTGGGGTGGCCTCACAATCATGGCGGAAGGCAAGGAGGAGCAAGTCATATCTTACGTGGATGGCAGCAGGCAAAGAGACAGAACTTGTGCAGGGGAACTCCTGTTTTTAAAACCATCAGATCTTGTGAGATGTATTCACTATCACAAGAACAAGATGGGAAAGTCTTGCCGTCACGATTCAATTACCTCCCACCAGGTCCGTCCCATAACACGTGGAAATTCAAGATGAGATTTGGGTGGAGACGTGGCCCAGCCATGTTAGTCTTTAAGCTTGAATTGAACTTGCAATACCGTCTTGCTCAGAGGAAATATTTTCCAATAAAGGAAATAAAACAGTTTTACTCTGCTTTAGTTTTTTTATGTAATACCTTATTGTGAAGCTGCCATAAGCTGTTTGATGTTTTTCCAATAATTCATATTCTTCTACCTTGTAAATCAAGAACATAATTCTAAGCCTCCCGCCCAACTGAATGGACCCCTCTTGTCAGTCAAGGAGATTCCAAAGAAACCTGAAAAACTAGTTCAGACTATTATAAGCAGTGGAGGATTGGGCATGCCTCATGATACGCCTCTCCTTTTTGGAGTTTAGCAAAACAGACCAGCATTAACATTAAAATAGAGATCTTTGCTGGGCGAGGTTGCTCATGCCTGTAATCCCAGCATTTTGGGAGGCCAAGGTGGGCAGATCACTTGAGGTCAAGAGATCAAGACTAGGCTGGCCAACATGGAAAAACCCTGTCAATACTAATAGAAAAACTATCTGGGCGTGCACCTACAATCCCAGCTACTCAGGAGGCTGAGGCATGAGAATCACTTGAACCCAGGAGGGGAAGGCTGTAGTGAGCCAAGATTGTACCACTGCACTCCAGCCTGGGTCACAGAGTGAAACTGTGTCTCAAAAATAAAAATAAAATAGAAATCTTAAGACTGACAGAACAGACTAGCAATGAGATACCAACTCCAACTGACTCGTCTATCACCTGATAGATAAAGAAGGAAATCAAGATATTTTATCCCCAAATTTATTTCTTTTCCATATTTTCAAATGGCCCTGCCAAGCTGTCTTTTGTGGAAGGAGATTTGCATCTGTAAAGAATCTGTAACATTACTACAGGTATTGATCGACTTACCACCTACGCAACTTACGACTATTCAACTTTACGACCACAATCGCTAGCCACGACTGCTCCGTGTTGGCAGCGCAAATGTTGCCCAGCTGGGCGTATGACAATGTGGACCAGCTTCCGGCAGCACTACCATCTCCCCGTGCACCATTTCAGCTGTACATATAGCCTACTCAACTTACGACCAAATCGTGTTACGACCGGTCCGCGGTCCCGACTGTGGTCGTAAGTCGAGCACTAGCTGTACATCTTACCCTTCTAGACCTTCCCAATCCTGAGACAGTCTCGCACCTTTTAAAGGTCTACATAGGAAACCACATTAGTCCATTTTCATGCTGCTGGTAAAGACATAGCCAAGACTGGGAGATTTACAAAAGAAAGAGGTTTATTGGACTTACAGTTCCACATGGCTGGGGAGGCCTCATAATCATGGTGGAAGGCAAGGAGGAGCAAATCATGTCTTACATGGATGGTGGCAGGCAAAGAGAGAGCTTGTGCAGGGGAACTCCTCTTTATAAAAGCATTAGATCTTGTGAGACTTATTCACTATCATGAGAGCAGCCTGGGAAAGACTCATCCCCATGATTCAATTACCTCCCACTGGGTCCCTCCCACAACATGTGGGAATTCAAGATAAGATCTGGGTGGGGACACAGCAAAATCGTATCAGAATTCCACCAATGAGACTTCATCTACTGATAAGAACCTTGATCTCCACAGCCCCTTATCTTAACCCAGACACTCCTTTCTATTGATTCATTCCAAGTCTTTAGATAACAATTCAATTCAATTCAACCAATTGTCAATCAGAAACTCTTTGAATCCACCTATGACCTGTCAGCTCCTGTATCCCTCCCCAGCCCGCTTTCAGTTGTCTTGCCTTTCCGGACCAAATGTCTACCTCACATGCATTGATTGATATCTTATGTTCCCCTAAAATGTATGAAACCAACTTGCAACCCAGCCACCTTGGACACATCTCAGGATCTCTTGAGGCTGCCTGGGGCCATGGTCACTCATATTTAGCTGAGAATAAACCTCTTTTAAGTATTTGACACAGCTTGACTCTTTTTGTCAGCATCAAAGGAAAGACACCTTTTAAAAAATGTAAAATATACTTTATAGAAAGTTGAATGTAAGGACAATACAGATTTCTATGTAAGTTCACCGATTTCAGAATGGCCTGAAATTGTTTTTTGGAAGATGTTCAAAATGCCCCTGGAAGCTGATTCCATTTCTGTTCTGCTGTGCCTGCTGTACCAATTGTCATACAATGTGACAGCCGAAATGCATCTCCCTTCCTTGAAAAGAGTTCAGACTGCAAAGTGAAGATGACCTCTGTTTCCTCGTATAGGTCTTCTGAGAGCACAACACATGACTGGGATTGTGCCGAGAACATGTGGAATGGTGTGGAAAGACAGAAGAAGCTGCAGCCTTCAGGCTGCCATGGAAAAGCTGGTGGTGTGCTCTGTGGCCCTTCAGGAGGGGGTGTGTAATGAATCTTCAATGAATTTCTCAGATGAGCCAAAGTGGTGAACTTGTCTCAGTACCCAGGGAGAGTCAGACTCATCCACAGCTCTTGGCCTCCATTTTCCCAGTTGCTGTGGTTGGAGTGGGTCCCTGGAATTCATATGTTGGAAACTTGGTCCAGGCATGGGGGTGTTGGGAGGTGGGGCCTCTAAGGTGTGATTAGGCCATTAAGAGAGATTAACGCTGCTCTTTAGAGACTGGGAGAATTCTTGAGGGAGTGAGTGGGTTCCCACTCTCTCCAGACAGCATTAGTTGCCACAAGGTTGGGTTGTCATAACATGAGGTCACCCCTCATGTTCTGCCCCAATCCCCCTTCCGCTTCCCTTCTGTGTCGTGATGCAGGACAAAAGCACCACCAGAAGCTGCTGCCATGCTCTTGAACTTCCCAGCCTTCAGAACTGTGAGTCAAGTAAACATCTTTTTACTTGGGTGTATAAGTCACCCAGGCTCAGGTGTTCTTTGTAGCAACAGAAAATGGACTAAGACACTGGCCTTGAGACTCAGGTGCAAAATGCTTTAGCTCTATCCATCACCCCATCCCAAGCCAATTTCATGGCCTGTGAGCCTCCAATCCCCATGCACCCCACCTTCTATCTTAATTCTTTAACTTGATTACGTGTACCTAACATGTTCACAGGTTTTGAGGATTTAGTCATGGACATCTGTGAGGGCCATTATTCCGTCTACCACAATTAGATCAGCACATCTCTTGGAAAGGAACTGTCTGTTTTGTTTTCTTTTCTTTTTTTTTTTTTTTTTGTTTTGTTATATGAAATAAAGTCTTGCTCTGTCACCAGGCTGGAGTGCAGTGGCATGATCTTGGCTCACTGCAACCTCCTCCTCTGGGTTCAAGTGACCCTCCTGCCTTAGCCTCCCCAGTAGCTGGGACTATACGCATGCACCACCACACCCAGCTAATTTTTATATTTTAGTAGAGACAGGGTTTCACCATGTTGGCCAGGATGGTCTTGATCTCTTGACTTCGTGATCCACCCGCCTCATCCTCCCAAAGTGCTGGGATTACAGGTGTGAGCCACCGTGCCCGGCCAAAAGGAACTGTCTTTATTGGAGGAAATACACTGATGAGGCGCCGTGGTGGGCAGCGGTCTATGAACATTGGTGTTGGCCAGTGAGAACACTAGGGATGGTGCCTATGCCAGCCAGTGTCGGCACTGTTCAATCCATACGGTTAAGAGATATCAGGGATGGTGACCAGGAAGCCAAAGGCAAGTGCCCCAGGAACAATCATGGTTCCTGCCTATTTCCAGACTGGAGCCAGGCTTTGGACCCAGAATCCACTGTGCAAGTAGAAATTGATTTGACGGAAAATTACATTGTAAGCTTAATGTAAGGGGTAGAAAAAAATTCCGAAGACATTCAACAAAAACTAACCAACTGAAAAAGTCACTATTTCAGGAAGGACAAGCAGTAGGAAAGGAAATAATCACAGTACACAGAAGGAAAGGGTGGTGAGTCCCACGCAGGGCAGCACTGCAACCAGAAAGAGGTGTTCTCCTGCCCT